ATTGGGTACTACGAGCGTCTCTGGTTTTCGGTTCGTCTTTGGTTTTTCACATTCGTCTTGTAAGTTTCTTCGTTTATTTNCGCTTTGCCGCTTTTCTGCATTCTTCATGTTCGGTGGTTGTTAGTTATTTTATGTTCATTCCCGTGTTTGTAATTTTGTTATTTTCAGTTACCGTGTTTCGATCATTGGGTGAAATAAATTTCTATGTAACGGAAGATCCGAAACGAGTTAAAAGCGTGTGCGACTTTAATGGTAGTGAAATAAAATAAAATAAAACAAGATAAAAATAAATCACTTGATCATATGGCAAGGTAGTGTTCAGGAAAATCCGAACGTTTTGATTGGTTCTGTCTTGGTCGGGATTTTGCTGTCTTTTGTTGGTGTCATGAACTGTTAACATTAATTTTAGGCCATTTGCATGATGGCGTCATTTGACTACAAATACCAAAATCCTTCACTTTTTCTGTTCCTTATGCTAATCGGGGCAATTGTTATTTAAACTCAACCGGGAATTCAAAATTTAAATAATAAAGAAAAAACGAAAGGAATTCTGGTAGTTGTAGTCAAATGACGACAACGTGCAAATCTGCTATTGACGTCATTTTGACCAAAAAATCTGCGAAACCTTGTTAAGGATACTTGAAACCCTTAGCTGACTAAACGTTGAGCCCGCGATAGTTGCCGCTGACTGAAACAATATGGCGTCCTCCGGTGACAACGCAAGAGTGAAGGTTTGTTTTGTGTTTTGGAAAAATTCAAAATGTTTTTTCCTTTCACTGAGAAAAAATTATTCCATTTCGTTTTCTAAAGGGTATGACAATCGTAAAGCCAGTCATATTTGGAAATGTGTCGCACTACTTTGGAAAAAAACGGGAAAGCGACGGTCACACACACGGGTGGACAGTGTTTCTTCGACCTTTCAAGAATGAGGTGTGTAACACTCGTTGAACACGGTTACAGACCAGAATTTATGTTTTTTTTAATGAAGTTTTAGGGTATGAAAATAGCTAGTTTGCAACCCAGGGAAATCTAAATTTCACTAGAAAAGAGTCCCATCAAGATGCAACAAATCCTTTCAATAGACCATTTTACAGTTGTCTGCTCAGTGACCTGGCCTTTGTATG